GGGGGGGGGGGGGAGAATACGGTAAGCAACGTTTCTAGATCAAGGTTATCCGAAAAGTCAGTGCAAGTCCTAGGTAGATCTTATTTGCATGTCTGATAACATGGCCAGGTTTCAGTTTACCGAAGCATGGGGAGGCTTTAAAGCAAATACTGAGTTTTAATTGCGAAGTATTCTCTTTCATTCATCCTACACGTGTTTCCTCAGTATACTACACTTACTTTCTATGATACGTTTTATCATACTTGGTAACGAGTTCATTGGAATGAAAATTTCTTTTAGACATTCAACAGATTTAGGGTTTTATCGTAATATACTAGAATAATTAGACACTGTAGTCTGATATTCATGTTTTAATTAAAAACATAAAAGGAAAATTATATTTTCTCTGCATTTGAAGCACCATGCCCTGGAGGCATATGAGGAGTGTAAATGAACTTCCACATCCTATTTGAATTGAATATCCCCGTTGGGAAAAATCTATTCAGAAACATTTAATAATAATTGTATTTTCGACGCACACTAAAAATTGTTCTGATCTTTTACAAAATCAGACGTTTTCTTGAGCTATATATTTTGATTTGGTTAGGCCATCTTCCGGGACTTATTAATACATGGAACCTTAAAACAAAAAGATGGCATGCAATGTAATAGCATTGCAGTCATACTTGCTGTATTTAGTGTGTGTGGTGAGATACTAAATCTTGTAATGTAAAATATTAAAGTTAAAACCGTGAAGAATCCACATTATATGTATGAAATATTCAGATAAAGCCTATTAAAATTTCAAACTACAAATTATTTTAACAATAATATGAAATTCAATGTACAATTATGGTACAGAGGCACGTTGTTGGGATCGACATATAAAAAACTACAGTTTTAGCTGTGGAGAAAATCATTACAAGTATTACGCCTACTCTCACCCGTGGCACTAAAATGTGAATGGTCATTATCGTCCTCCGACCATATTTTTTCCATTGGGGAAGGAGCTCCAGATAGGTGGCTGTGTGGTGCCCCACACCCCTTCGTGAAGAGACATATTTCAACACCTTTGCTAGGGATCCAACCTCGATCAACCCAAGTGTTAGCCACAATATGCAGTTCTCGTATTGGTACTTGATTACTCTTCTACGTTATACGAGACCCGACGTCTATTTCCTATTCCTGCGCTACGACACTTGAACGGCGTGTGTGTGGCTTGCCGCTAACATCTGCAAATCTTCCAGATCGCTTTCTTCTGTCTCGTCGCTGCCGGCATGACCTGCGCACAGTACGGTTACCCAGGTTACCCGTACCCTGGAGCACCACCACAACACGGGGCGCCCCAGCCTGTCGCCGACACCCCCGAAGTTTCCGCCGCAAGGGCTGCCCACTTCGCCGCCTACAACGCTGCTGCTTCCGCTGCTGCTGCCGCCCCCGAGTACGGCCATGGTGCCCCTGCATATGGCGGTCCCTACCCTGGGGCTGCGCCTAACTACGGGGCTCCCTATGGTTCCGCCCCCGCTGGCTACGGGGCTCCCTATGGTGCCGCCCCTGCTCTTGTTAATGGAGTTCCCGCTGACACACCCGAAGTTGCCGCCGCCAAGGCTGCCCATTTAGCCGCCCACGCCCAGGCTGGCAACCATTACGGTTAAAGTAAATAATCTTAGCTGATACCGTCCCTTTATTTATTGAAGCTTAGTCAAATTGTGATACAATCAATGGTTCGGTACAGAATGAAAAAACACTATTGGCATATTGATAATTTCGTGGCCCATAAACCAGAAAAATTAAATTTTGCGGAGCGATAATATTGTGACCATTAAAAATATGGAATTTACTTAAAAGCTACAAAAAAAATCTTCTCTGTCGTCAATATTTCTTCTTCTACGTTTCCATTCTTCGCCTTCCCACTCTGTTTTCTAAGTGTCTTTATTTTTCATCTATTCCTTCACCCCGTTCTTCATCTTTCCTACTGTTCCTTGCCCCATCCCTCTCTTTATTCTTTTCATCCTACTCTTCTTCATTCTCGTTATTCATTTTCTCTTCCTTTTTATTCTACTTCTATTGTTCTCATTCTTCTTCATCATTTGTTCCTCTTCCTTTTTCTTTGTCACCTGTCCTCGTATTCTTCGTATCGCACTTTTCTTCACTTTTCCCTCCCTCCTTAGAATCTTTACCTCTTTTTCCGTCTCCCCTCTTTCTTCTTCTTCTTCTTCTTATTTCTTCTCATACTCCACCTTCGTCTTCCGTCTTCTGGTGCTTGCGTAATTGGTGGCAGAGATGAAAAAATTGTACCAGCTTAATTATGATATTTTAAGGGATATGTGTGACCTTTGTATCCAACGCACAGTGCGATATCTTAGAATGCCTTGCGATTTAATGATCCCTCCAATCAGAGCTCAGTACAATCGTGTTTTCCAGGCGAGTTTTCAGTTATTTCCATTGTTTTTGAACACTCACTAATGTTTCGACATTAGTATGCACTCCGACTGCTGCAAGTCTGGAATTC